TGTATATTTTAGTGGTTATGGGCGTTTGTGGAAATTTAGTGGGTCAAATGCAGTATACTGACCTTTTCAGACTGAGACTAAATGACAAAACAGAAATCGATTAACCAGTGACCTCTTAAGTGAGGTGCCTTGGAATAGTTCTGTTGTGATGAATTTTCGGAATCCTATAATAATGTTATGGCTATCCTTACTTATAATATATTAAAGTATGTCTGGGAGCCGTGTGCTATGATAGATTTGTGAATGTACTTATTTGGATGTTCTGAAGCTGGTTAAGTTGAGTATCACTGTTTTGTATATGAACTGGATTGTGTTTGAGATTTACAGGCTGGTCAAGAATCTTTTAGATCCATTACCAGGTCGTATTACAGAGGAGCTGCTGGTGCACTTTTGGTTTATGATATCACCAGGTACCACCTTTTTTTCCTCCCTGCCCCTTTGTTATAAGGACATGATTTGTTTGCTTTGCTGTTTTTTATGCATATATTTGCTCTCTGTAAATGTAGCTCGTTTGAAGGTATTTTTTCACCCTACCACTATGACCGCCGAAGTTCATAAATACATATCTATAACTGAAACACCATAACTCGGTCAAAAGAACAAAGTACCCCTACAGGTGACCCATATGTAAACTTATACTTTGATAGGTTATATCTATAGAATTATGTTGTATGGTTTCTCTCTCTCGCTATCTCTCTCCTGAACATCTGATGGTGAGGACAGATTCTGTAAATCCTTTCTGTGTACTATTTAAAAAATCAACGAGGTAATATGCAGTCACAGTAACTGAGATGTTGGGTCTTAATGCAGTTCATATTTGTTCTTTTTATCTTCTTATTTTTCTGTTTTCAAAACAACCCGGAGCCACCATCCTTCAGCTATACTGTAGGTATAACAACTCGGCCTTGACATATTAGAAAGATACGAAGAGAAATCAAGAGATTCTTCTGTAGTAGTTTTTCTTCATTTGTCTCCTTTACTGCCGTTCAGGAGGGAGACTTTTAATCACTTGGCTAGTTGGCTAGAGGATGCAAGGCAGCACGCAAATCCGAACATGTCAATTATGCTGATAGGCAACAAATGTGACCTTGCCCACAGAAGGGCCGTTAGCACAGAGGAAGGTGAACAGTTCGCTAAAGAACATGGGTTGATTTTCATGGAAGCTTCCGCTAAAACTGCTCAGAATGTAGAGGAGGTGATGAATCTTTTTTAGGATCTTAATATATGCTGCATATTAATATATGTAGTTATCCTTTCCTTCTGTTTTTTTTTTCTTCTTGTTTTTCTTTCTTTTTCATGTGTGGAACATTTTCTGCAGGCTTTCATTAAAACAGCCGCAACAATATACAAGAAGATTGAAGATGGGATTTTTGACGTGTCAAATGAGGTTATTTCTTTTTCTGTTTCTTCTCGATTTTTCCCTCATCGTTAGTCAAACTAATTTCTGCTTGCTCTTTAGTTACGTTTGATTCTTGTGGATAATTTGTTTTTACCATCTACAGTCGTACGGAATAAAAGTAGGTTACACTGGAATCCCGGGCCCGTCGGGCGGCAGGGATGGTTCGTCCCAAGGTGGAGGTTGCTGCAGTTGAGATTTGTCCGTAAGCACTTGCGTTCGACCTCAGCTATGCTGCATCTTCACACCCTTGTTCTGTTTGCAATTTGTATCTTGTGATTCGGCTCAACTGTAAATTTGACAATAGGTTGGTATATGTCAGTTGTATAATGAAACGGGTGGTGGTGAGCTTCGGCATGTTCGGCAAATTTGGGAATGTGTTTCGATAGGTTCATTATGTGTGGTCTTCTGAATGAAAAACATAGTAATGATGGTGTCTTGTGATCTATTTGCATTCATGTAAACCATTTCTTGTAAATTATGATCCAAATGATGGGTATTTCTGTGTTTATCTTTCTTTTAAATTAAGTATAAGCTTGGATCAATGAGCTTGTAATATTCAAAAACCACAGGGATATCTCTAATCATTATATGAACTTCTGAGCTAAGATTGCAATTAATTAAAAGATTTGGTGGTCCTGATGTCATTATAACAATCTCATCATGATAAAAGAAAAAGAAAAACAACGACACACAAAAGTGGGATTTAGACGTTGGTTTGATCTCTTATTACAAAAAGCTGTGAAAATATGTAGTTTGTTTTTTACCGTCTTTTACAACGGTCCAAACGGATTCAATTAACCCAATTCGAACATAGAAAAATGTCACAGTCCCATTATAAAACTATTCTATCGGAGTTTGTAACCGTTAGATTTGTCATATAACCGTCGAGAATAGTTGATTTAACGGTTACAAACTTCGACGGAATAGTTCCGTAATGGGACCTAGCATCTCCATTTAGACCATATGCCAATTTTTTTTTACTGGAATTTATTTGGTGAGAAAGGGTTGAATGTTTAATCAATTTCCATTCACATGATTAGGATAGAAGAGAAACAAATTTCATCCAGATTTATCTGACCTAAACAGTTACCGAAAATTCTGCAAAAAAAAGTCTCATTCAGACAAAACAAAAAAAAAAAAAAAAAAAAAAAA